GGCCTGCTGGATGCTGCGGAGAGACAACAAAACAAGATTACCTTAGTATTAGATCACCAAAAAAAAAATATATATATATATATATGTCCACAAGGAAAAAGAGTGTCTTATATTTCTTACTGAAAAGTGATAGACTGATTATCAGCTATTGATTATCTGTCAAAAATGTTATTTTTAAGGACTGATGTGAAAAATTCACTTCATATGTTCTTAGAGACCAAGATGATTTATTCAAACAGCTTTCCCCTTGACAAAAACACAGCAAAACCCACTGATAACAGACAGGAGAGTCATAAACAAACAAACAAAAAAAGCCACATTTAAATGGTGCAAAGGTTTTGTACTAGTGTATAGCTACTTCTATTTACAAGAAACAAATCGACTAAAATCTGAGTTTCGTCCAATATCTGCTTGACACACACACACACACACACCCAACGACACACAACACACACACCCGGATTAGAGAGAAAAACCAAAGACAACAGAAACTCAGGTAACTCGTTACATTAAATGAGAAGTGGTCTATACCTCTCTGCAGGATATCCTCCCTCACAAAGGTTCACCAGCGCATACAGATGTCTGAGTGCGTATTCGTACTGCAAAGAAATCAAATCGTCACACGTCAGAAACGTCACCACAAGCTGTGTTTTACACGAATCTTCAAATGTTCACCAGCTTCCTCTTTTTTTCTTTTTTTTATCTGATGCCCTTAAACGTCAGAAACTGTCCAGAGAAAACAAAAGAAGACTTTCAGAATAAAAGCACCTGGGAAAATACTGAGTTTAAATCATGTGATTAAGGGCTTTCCCAGTCACTGAGATGACAATTAGTGTTACGGAAGTTACCGATACATAAATTAAACTGAATTGAAGTATTTCTGATCATTCACTGCCAGATGGTGTGACAACCACGATGAACAGAGAAACAACATTTACTGTTCAATTCTGTTTTAAAAATCCAATTAATACAAATTTTTTTTTTACATGTAATTAACATATTTCTCAGTATTATTCTTTCTTTCATTATTTATTACTTTATTGAGTGATATTACTTTTAATTTACCTTATTATTTATATATTTTTTCCTCCATTTACCCTTATCCTGAACCTAAATAATCAAAGATCACAGTGGGCAATATGCTTACTGTGTGAAGCTTTTAACATGGCTTTCATAGAACTGTGAGTGGGAGTTCAAGCTTATTCTCAGAGTGTCTGGATTAGAGTCAGCTGAATGCAAAAGAGCAGATGAATGAGAGTATGATACCTGCTGATGAATAGCATGTGAAACTGATTTGGCACTTCCCCTTTACAAGGAGAACCAGAGTCCAGGCATGAGAACGAAATTCTACTGTAAGCTTGAAATGTGGCCACAATGGTGACTCATTTATTAATGGCTTTATATGAATCACAGACACTCTGTAAACTGCAATGGGATGTCCCGGGTCTGTTAAAAAGGAGCTGAAAGACTCCTAGTGTGTGGCTCTACGTCAGAAACGTCAGAAACTGTCCAGAGAAAACAAAAGAAGATTTTCAGAATAAAAGCACACAGCTGCATGAAAGCACCTGGGAAAATACTGAGTTTAAATCATGTGATTAAGGGTTTTCCCAGTCACTGAGATGACAATAAGTGTTACGGAAGTTACTGATTGTAACTTTGTATTCTGGTGACGTCTTTCCCTTATAATAAGCGCCTTGAGGCAAATGCTGTTGGGATTTGGCAATACATAAATTAAACTGAATTGAATTGAAGTATTTCTGATCATTCACTGCCAGATGGTGTGACAACCATGATGAACAGAGAAACAACATTTACTGCCCAATTCTGTTTTAAAAATCCAACTAATACTGATTTTTTTTTTTTTTTTTACACATAATTAACATATTTCTCAGTATTATTCAGCAAGTCAATCCAATATCTTAGTCATGTGATTTTCTTTCATTATTTATTACTTTATTGAGTGATATTAGCTTTTAATTTACCTTATTATTTATATATTTTTTCCTCCATTTACCCTTATCCTGAACCTAAATAATCAAAGATCACAGTGGGCAATATGCTTACTGTGTGAAGCTTTTAACATGGCTTTCATAGAACTGTGAGTGGGAGTTCAAGCTTATTCTCAGAGTGTCTGGATTAGAGTCAGCTGAATGCAAAAGAGCAGATGAATGAGAGTATGATACCTGCTGATGAATAGCATGTGAAACTGATTTGGCACTTCCCCTTTACAAGGAGAACCAGAGTCCAGGCATGAGAACGAAATTCTACTGTAAGCTTGAAATGTGGCCACAATGGTGACTCATTTATTAATGGCTTTATATGAATCACAGACACTCTGTAAACTGCAATGGGATGTCCCGGGTCTGTTAAAAAGGAGCTGAAAGACTCATAGTGTGTGGCTCTACCTCAGGTTTGCTCCAGTTGAAGCAGTTGTGTTTGAAGTGCTTCACTGCCGCCTTGTAGCACTGATGCTGGGAGAGGTCAGCTCTGCTGTTTACCATGTCATTGGCTTTGAACGTATTGCCGACGACTCTCTCGACCACTTTGCGCATTGTGTCGGCCATCATGTCCCTGAGCTACACAGACAAAGGTTCACACACTCTTTAATGGTAAATTGTCATCAAATGGATTTTCAGTGTACTGGCACACTGCCACAAACATTACAAAGCTTTGTCAGTCTTTACCTTGAGGTGGGCACTGATCTCCATGAGCAGGCCCCGTGCCACACTGATGTCATTGGAGGCCATCATTTTCCTCTTCAGGATGGCCAGAGGAACGTCAGGGCTCGGGGTCAGATCCAGGTTTGTAATTGGTGGCAGGTTCATCGGAGCTGGACTGTCTGCCTTGTGATTACCCTGAAACTGTATAACTTTCATGTGGGCCAAAGTCTGTAGAGAAAGATGTACAAGCGTTAAAACAGAAGGAGGAAACAAACTTTGTTTTTTTTTCACTCACATACATGAACACATTCTGCAAGTCATTCCAACTTTAAACTAAACACTACTTCCCCCTCAAATTTCTTTAGTCTAGAACTGACAAGTGCTCATTGAAGCATTTCGTTCACAGTTTGCACAGCCTTCTTGCTCTCACCTTGTTTCCGTACTGCTGGACGTGGCTCGTGTCTGTGTGGTTCTTCACAATCTTAAACTGCTGTAGCAATGTTTCTTTTCTCAGATCCTCCTGGATGCACAAAGACAGAAAAAAAAAGTGAATGTGATAAAATGCTTCCAAAATAACAGTCACATGAAGAGTCAGTGAATTCGTTCCGTAAAATAATGTGTGGCAGTTTGACTGTCTCATGGTCAGGTTTCTGTTCTACTGTTACACACTTATGCAAAGTACTCGGGGCTGGTTAAAGACAAAAGTTCTGCTGCTACGTTTGGAGACGTTTATCACTTCCTTTTCCTGCCAATCTTAGATGTTAACCGTTTCTTCCTTTTTCATTCTCTCAGTGGATTCATGTTTCTGGATTAAATCTACATCTACACCATAATCCGATGTGCACCTCTCCCTGCAGCCTGAAGTCTAAACATTATAAGATGTGTTAAAGCCACCACACAAGATACTCTGAAGTTCAGAGTCACAATATAACAGACAACAATTACATTTTTCTTTTTAAAATATTTTTCAAAAATGAATAAATATTAGAAGCTGTGATTTGGACACAAACGAGGAAGATAATCACACACCACATCAGAGTCCTCCATCCAATTCACGCTGTACCAGTCACCCAGGTAGGTGTCCCGTTTCTCATCATAGTAGCAGGCATAAGAGGACTCCTCAGCGTTGGCTGCTGTGGTGGCATACACTGAAGAATACACAGAGATTCTCATGTTAGGAGACTTTAGTTTTACACTAGGCAGATCTAAAGGTCGCTCGCTAATCTGTTCAACAGCCTCAGAAAAATCTGAAGGTTGTAACTGAAGATCTAAACACAAATTTCAGTAACTGCTTTACACTTGGACACATCAAAAACAGACATTCATTGAAAACAATCAAAGAAGAATCTTGATCAATGTCATGTGCAGGTCCGGTTCTGTTTATCACTTGATGTCCGACACAGTAACTGTGCTTAAAGATGACCACAAGCTGGGCAGCTGACCTCAGCATTTAATGGATTCTTACAAAAGACTAAAAGTCAAAAGCAGAAGTCCTCAAACCACGGACCTGACATCTGTCTAGTCAACATAACACGAAGCGTAACGCACGGCTGATTTTAAAAAAAAAATAAAAAATTAAAACATGAAAAATAAAAATCACATGATCCTAGTCTGATCCCATCAAAAGCATAGACCAGCATCAGTTTCGCTCTCATCACTTGATGCTGGTTCATCATTTTTTTTTTTTTTTTTTTTACAGGAAAGTAATTCTGCTGATAAAGTTCAACTCACCATCAACGTCAGTAGGCAGGTGGTTCATCATTGACCCGGACTCACATGCTTCAATGTAGAACACCATCTATGTGTGTGTGTGTGTGTGTGTGTGTGGACCAAACACAAATGTTATGACCTTACACATCAGCACAGCTACAACACAGTAGCTACAGCTACTTGTACGGTACATATCAAACATCACATCACCTTTTTGTATTTCTTGTTGTCGTGCATGTATGTAATGGCTGCTTGAAGGTCTTCAACATGGAGCTGCAGACAGAGAGGTGACAAATTTGCATTAACCACAATTATACACTACTGTTTCTTAGAGCACCGTGATGGCATGCACTGCAAACATAAAAACTGATTTATCAGCAAATTAGGAGATATGTAAGGTCCCAAAACACGGTTAGTTTACTTGGTGAGGATGTCTTCCTGGTTTGACAAGTTAAACACTAACAATGCTGATTGCAATGATAAGGTTAATGTTCAAATTGTGTTAACCATTTGTGTTTGACCTCAATGCGGCAACTGCTATCTTTTCATAATATTCCATCTAATAATTAGATATTTCACCAAATTGCAAAAATTGCAAAAATTGCAAAAAACAAAAAAACCCAACCCAGACATATCAAAGTGATTGTGAAGCAATAAGGCTCTTTGTGAATCTGGTGTAACCTGTCTGTGGTTGTTGCAGTGCCAGGAAGTTAAAAAAAACAAAAAGGTACTCACCTCATCGGCGGGAAATGCCAGAATACCAGGTGCTCCGTGATCGGTGAAGTAAACAAACACATGATCATTGGGTCCACTGCCAGGAAAATGAGAACAAAGTTAAAGAAAAAAAAAAAAAGTATATAAACCAGATTTATTGTTGTTTGGCCACGCGCTCGTTACTTCCTGTCTTTTTTAACCACTTACCTCTTCAGCACTTTTCCAGAGCCACCTTTGACTTTTGAGGCATCACCCTTCAACACTGCCAGGAAGTTTTCTGGGGTAACATCCTGCAATAACAGACACATCAACCCACAAAGTTTGCTTTCAGCAGAGAAGCCTCTTCAAACAATCGTCTGGAAAATATTGAAATCAGTTGATCTTTTATAGAAATGCACTGAAGCACTCACTTCCCCGATGTAGTCTTTAGGAACTCCCTTGTACACATCACTGCCATTTGGTCTATTGATCAGTATCCCAGGGGTAGGATTCCTGGAAGAAAAACATGATTGAGACACACAGAAGGAAGTGCAAATAGCTGATAAAACACTTTGTGAGATAAAAGGGAAACAGATGGATAACAATGATTCACTCATCTGGTGACAGAGCCACAAAACAATATGACACCACAGATGTTAAAATAAATCAATGAATAACATTTATAGTGAAATCTTATGGTATACATATCTGCGCACAGATACGTACAGTTTGTCTTTCTTTTTTACAGTTCTGTAGCTAGATATTTATTAACCAGATGCTCAGTCTGTGATTACAATGGCAGTGATACAAGAGCGTGACACGGATATTAAAAAAAAAAAAAAATCCCATATTGCATAATGTCTCTCAAAAAACAAAGCAGACTGACATTCATGGAACATTTTAAGGTGTGGGAACAGTTAACAATAACAGCATTACTCAGCATGCATCGTGCCTATCAACTTGAATAAACATGTCTACACATGGGTTATGATCCAAAATAACAAAAAAAAACGAACATATGTCTCCCATTTATCAGAAAGTTCTATCAAAAACTTTACTAAATGTCTGAAATGAACCTGAAAGAATGACTCGATTGACTGCCCGGTAAACTTCAAGCAAAACACAGTGAAAAGTCTTTGTTGTAAACAGCTGCTAATATATTAAAGTATCTCTAATTAAAGTAACAGCTAACTACATGTGCAAGTCGGCTGGCACTGAAATTTAAGTAGCACAGGCCAACTCTATCAAATCACTGCTAAAGCTGGGTTTTACATCGCGTCCCACTATGTAACTGCCATTGTGATTCCCGCAACCAACACATCTCCTTACATTACCCCTCCTCTGCCAGTAACATAACTCCGAGACTATTTCTATGGAAGCGCCTTCCTCGCGACTCCTCTCAGCATGACTCATTCACTCAACATGTTTTTCTGAGCGATGCAGGGCCCTGCAACACAGTGACAGGAGGAATGCCAATGCAGCTTTTTGATCTGATTGGGAAATTCCTGCGAAAACCCTGAAACCCACCATTATCTCCAAAGATGATGCCAGCAGACTGTTAGTTTTCCATGAGATAGACTAAAGATGTTCCATCAGAATCAAAAAAGACAAAGACAAAAAAGTAATGACTGACAATACAACTATTTTTATTTTTTGAAAAAGTAGATCCAAGAGTAATTTAATCTTCTGAGCATTTTTAAACATCAAGAATTCATTCATTAAAAAACAAATCCTGTTGTTCAGTGTCTACAATGGTTGCTCTGATTTGTTTGTTTATGTCAGTCAGTCACCAAAGCTGAAGGCCATTTAAGGTCATTTAGCAAACAACTGGATTGTCAGCAGTTACTTTTTGTCTTTGTCTTTTGTGATCCTGATGAAACAGTGTTAGTCGGTCTTTACAGGGAGGAGATTCACAGTTTGACACCATAGAGAGCTGGGGAAAGTCTCCAGCTTTAGGTTCCTAGGAGTCACCATCACAGAGTGCCTTTCCTAAGCCAGACTCCTCCAAAAACCTGCTTAACAACTTCTATAGATGCATCCTCACAATCTCCGGCTCATCTTTAGCCTACTCACTGTGCAAAGAGTGAAGGGGAAATCCACAAAGACTCTGAAGGTGCTTCAAAGCTATCCTCACACAGAGACTTTAAGATTATTTCAGGCTTCTTGCTGAACATAGCTGTCAAATGACTTTATAACCCTACTGTGATATATTCTCCTGCTCAATTCCACATGTTTATGCTCCTCAGGAATATATGGATACATTTATACGTTATACATTTAGTAACTCATGTAAAGTGCATTATCCTATTGCTCAAATCCACCCTAAGATATATACATTACACATATTCATATATAAGTAGTTTATAATATCTCATATTCAGTGCTAACGTACAATATTCTTGTGTGTATGTATGTATGTATGTATGTATGTATGTATGTATGTATGTATGTATGTATGTATGTATGTAACACACGACACACACGTACACACACACACACACACACACACACACACACACACACACACACACACACAAACGTGTCAGTATATTTATCTGTTATGTAAATGTAATGCAGCATGTGAGATAGTAAAGCTAGACTTTTGTTATGGATGCATAATGACAGCAGAGACTCTTGAATTTGAGTCAGTTGTAACAGGGCCTACAAACAGCCTTTTCTGGCTTAAGATTTAGTTTTTGTGTGCTATATCTTACTAATAGTTAATAGCCTACTAAGGTCAACAGCTACTAAAATTAGGATGAGTTTGTGTCAAACATTTTAAGGAAAGAAGAAGTATGAACAAGCATCTACAACAGAGAAACAAAAGTGCCAACTCACTGTTCATTTTCAGCCAAATCATCGTACATCATGACCACAATCTGCTCGTCGGGGATGCCATTCCTGTGGACAATCTGGTAGGCATGGCAAGCATCGGCCTGAGCGAGCAGGAGAGCAAAAGATTCGGAGGTCAGCTCCACATTATCACAGTATGCAGCCTTTTAAGCAGCGGGAGGAGCACTTGGAAAACATGCATTAGGGAGGGGAAGTAGCTTATCAGAGCTTAAAGCGGTGCTTATCAAAAACCATGAGAGAAAACTATCGAGTCATGCACAGCTCGCACTGGTAGTGCAGCAAGTCATCCCTGGTGCCTGTAGTTGTACCAGCCGTTGGAGCCAGCCACAATAAGCACCCAGTGTTTTCCGCCACTGTTTTCCTCTTCCTGGGTGGGAAACCCAATAACGAGTCCGGCTGTCAGGCCAAGCAGGGCGAATAGGACGGACCGACACATCTTCTCGCTTTCTGTGGGATTCCTGGATGGATGACAGTAGGGAAAAATATTCAGATCCTCTTCTAGATTTCAGCTATGTTTACCGAGGTGGCAACAAACACGGAAAACTGAAAAAAATAAAAACACCTGATATCACCTGATAATTCTGGGAAGCTAACTAGCCATCAGTAGCACAACAAGCTTCGCAAAACATGGACTTTTAAAAAACACTCGGAGTGAGTTAAAGCTATTAAGACACACCGCTCAGTCCTAGAAGTTTTAAAGGAAGACAAAAACATATTTTATTACCTTTTCTTTGCGTTGTTAGACAAGGAAGGGGGCAACAACCGACTACACGCAAATCCTCAGCGGCACTCCACAGTTATATTTAATGTCGGGGGGCAAAACAGTTGGCATCGTTTTCTACGGGAGCCAATCAGAGTGCTCTGGGGCGGGGCTCACTAATCATGTGAGTAAGGTAACAGCTCTCCGTCATGTGACACTATTATTTTATAAGGCTATAACACAAGCATAAATGCATTTATGTTTTGGATGTAATTTCAAAACACCATAATCTCCTTGGACATCGGTTTTTGTTATTATTTTTTATTATATTTTAATTTGGTTTTGAGGTAATTTTGTGTTTCCTTTTGAATGATCACCTCTACTTCTTTGTCCCATTTTCTCTCTGTGGTTACTATCTCTTTCACTTCATTTTAATCACCCTTTTATATACTACAGCAAAACCATAAATATAAAATTCAATCCACGTGCTGATCACAAGTTTGATTTTATGCTTACTGACACAATTATGACTGCTCAGCTTCTGCTTAAAAGTGGGAATTTTACCCCATATTTTCCATATATGGGGTATAATGTTAGACTCGGGCTTGTTGCAGCCCGTCATTAAGGTTGGAAGAGCAGGTAGGTGGGCTTGTTTTCACAGTTAAAGCTGTGCCCTTAACATTATCAAATTAGTGAAATCACCGCTCTTTAACATCAGAGATCCAAATGAAGAAGAAGAAAAAAAACAACTTTCTGAAAGAATGATTTTAGCCCATACAATTCTATCAAGCTTCAAATATTTCCTATGACCACCTTTGTTCTTCAACAACCAGAGCTCTCTTATTGTAATTTCTTTTAAGTAGTATTCAGGAATAGTTATCCAGGCAACTTGAATATGGAACGCCAGGACTGATATAATGAATTAATTCAAAGCTCTTCTTTTGATGTTGCTGCCTAGATGATACCACACTGCTCCAGTAATGTTGAGGTTTGGACTCTAAGGATGTCAGTGTATGACATCGCTCCACAGCACCTGTTCCCACTGATTTTCAGTTTAGTTCTTGTTTAATTTGGCATACCACAGCCTTGTCTGCCTGTGCCTTAAGAATGGCTCCTTGACAGCCATCCTTCTATTGATGAGGCTTCAGTGAACTGAATAAACAGAAGAGCTCTCTCTCAGGGCCTGTGTTAGATCTTTGCTGGATAACCCCCCCCCCCCATTTATTAAAGACATCACTTTCTGACACTGTTCATCTGCTGCAAATATATTTTTTAAGACTGTAGGTAAAGGAAGAGCTGGCAATTTTCTTTGATTTTTTTTAAATGAACTGTACACCATAAAATATGCTAATTGTAAGCAAACAGGTTTTTGGAAATCACCTTGTTGGTGCAAAAACACTATTTTATCTTTGTCCAACTGCATTTCCTTTGGCAATTTTCATAGATTCAGGTAAAGAAATGGGAATAAAATCTGCTTTTGTGACAGGCTGACAGTCTCAAAGCGTACAAAGACAGAATTTAAAATTGGTTCTTTGTCAAGATGTCCGTTATTTGTAAACAAGACTAGTTTCAGCCTTTAAATTAGGTGCCATTTTTATGCTTGAATGATTTATGTAAAATACTGATCTGAAAATGGTCAAGAACAAGGACTGGACTGAAAATAATGAGGGAGTTTCACAGAGTGAAAAAGCAGCCAATGTCCAAATGAAAAACTTATATAAGAAAGTCTCTCTCCTTGGAAACAAAATATAAAAGATATGATTGGTGGGTTGAAACTTTTGCATGGCACAGAACAATTAGAAAAGCAGAAGAGAGCTACTTTAATGATAAAGTTGTTTAGGTTGTTCTTTTGAAAATAAACTCATGAATAAAATCATTCAGAGTATCAAAGACAGCAATAAATCAAACTTTTATTCTCCATATAGAAAAGAATTAAGTTAAATAGAGAAACAGTCCATGAAATTGCGGCATCTCATTTTCATCCAATGGTCCTTTGTACATTAATCTTTGTCCCAAAATGAAAAAAAAAAAAAAAGATGTAACAAAGTGTAAATACCGTATTCACAGTAATAAATATTGAAAACAAAATCTTTTATACATTGCATTATATATATATATATTTGTGTAAATATATATAGATATAGATATAATCATATACAGTAAAAAGTTATTTTCAAGTTTATCAAACATAAAATATTAAAATAAAAATGGCCAAAAACAGAATAATGATTGCATTTTTCTTTCCATTCCCAAGGCATCTGTAACCATGGCCATTCAGAATCTGTAATAAATAAAATGTGAATTTATCTAAAGATTGTAGTCCATCACTGTAAATTAAAAAATATATATAGTGCAAGTTTTTTTTCTTAGGCGTAAATTAATCTTGCAAATTTCAAACTAATCCAAACGGAATGACAACAATGAAACAGAGGGTGTTGAGGACAACATCGAGTCTCTGACTTCTGTCAGTTCTGCACCACAACTTTCTTTGTAGTCTTGGCAGCAAAAAACAAAAAATAAAAAACATAAGGATTTCACATGTATGAATCCATAGCAGATATTCAATAAACTTATTTGGCAAATAGGGGACAAACAAGAAAGAAGAAAGAGCTCCACGAGCTCCTTACACTCAGCTCTGTCAGGATTTCCAAAAGAAAAAAAGAAAAGGAAATGCATAGAAATTAATTACCAGTAGCAAGAACTAACTTAAGGGTTGTTTACTGTCATGCAGCATTTCTGAGACGCAAAGCAAGGCAGATATTGTGGATGTGAGTGTCGATGAAAGCATTGGATAAATGTATACTCTGCCTGTGCTTGCACATTTCCCTGGCTTCCTTTCCCCCTCAGCAGTAAGGAACGGGGGAGGGGGGAGAGCTCCCATTTCCTGTTTGTCTCCAGCCTCCTGTTAAAAGCCAGAAGAAGGTCTGACTTCATCTCCACGCAAGGGCGCAGGGGTATATGTGTGCGTGCAAGTGTCTGTTTGTGTTTGTGTGCTTGCTTATCCTCAAACCTCTGCACCCAACTCAATGACCCCAGTCTCAATAATGGGCACTAGCTTATCTTCCACCTGTACCAGCAGGATGGTTTTGTCTATATGGGAGCGATTTGCTGGGTCTCGGCTACAAGGCACCCACCGGTGAATCACCTGCAGGGGGCAATAGAAGAAACATCCAATAAAATTTATGAAGCATTTATGACAGAACAAGTAGGTCAGAAAGGGTGTTACAGGGCAAAAAAATAGGGCATGTGCAAGCATGATAATAACAGCTAAATCACATTTATAGCACCAGAGGTGAGTGGGTGTGTAAAATGAGTGTATGAGGCAAACTATAGCAACATATTTACATGACCTAGAGTTTACTTCATCTGCGTGTGAAGATAAGTAAAGGTGCTGATTTGGTAACATCTGTGAGAACACACTTACATGCCCTTCCATGCCCTCTAAAGGGCTCCAGTCTCTCCAGCAGGTCCTTCCTGCTCTCAGTCTCATGGTTTCGTCTGGCCACTGCAGTTCTTTCCGCTTCGATAAGTTAATGTTCTCCAGCACCAGACTCACGTCCACAATCTGAGGTGAAGACACGGACCGACAGGGTGTAAAAACTTATGTAACCACAAAGGAACTGAGGGCTTTTACTAGAAAGAAATCACTGACACTGCACGCACAAACAAACACACAAAGGATAAAGTGGAGAACAATAAAAAATAAAAATAGTTATATCAGGACTTTTTTTGCTGCTGTGGATACACAGACAGAGAAAAAAACCCCAAAGACAACAGAAACTCAGGTAACTCGTTACATTAAATGAGAAGTGGTCTATACCTCTCTGCAGGATATCCTCCCTCACAAAGGTTCACCAGCGCATACAGATGTCTGAGTGCGTATTCGTACTGCAAAGAAATCAAATCGTCACACGTCAGAAACGTCACCACAAGCTGTGTTTTACACGAATCTTCAAATGTTCACCAGCTTCCTCTTTTTTTCTTTTTTTATCTGATGCCCTTAAACGTCAGAAACTGTCCAGAGAAAACAAAAGAAGACTTTCAGAATAAAAGCACCTGGGAAAATACTGAGTTAAAATCATGTGATTAAGGGCTTTCTCCTCCATTTACCCTTATCCTGAACCTAAATAATCAGAGATCACAGTGGGCAATATGCTTACTGTGTGAAGCTTTTAACATGGCTTTCATAGAACTGTGAGTGGGAGTTCAAGCTTATTCTCAGAGTGTCTG